GACAGCAGTAACTCTGGTGGTGACACTGCTTTCGGGGAAGGTGAGGCCCACTATGGCTTCTCCCGCCTTGCAAGTGGGAGAAGTCTCCACCCCAGATTCGCAGCCTCTGCAAGTGGTCTCTGCTCACCCACTGCAGCACGGGTTGCCAGGAGCCTTTTTGGCTCCCGGAAACGGAGCCACAGAGCCCCCACCTTCACAGGTGGGTGGAGCCTGCTCTCCACCTGCATTGGTGACTGCTGCCCCCGTGCACTGCCCCCACTGCGTAGAGGGTGGCTTTGTGGTGCTCCCACGCCTGTGGGTGAAAGGGGCCTTGGGGGCTTCCGGGGCTCCTGAAACCAGAGTCCTGGTACCTTCCCAGGTGGGTAGAACCAGAGTCAGGGTGCTACCATTTTGGGTAAAATGGATGAGCCATGTGAGTGCCCCACCGTGGAGGACAGAGCGTGCATGGGTGCTGCCACATTGGATGATCCCACATGCATGGGTGCCGCCATCTTGGAACTGGATAAGGCTTCTCTTCTGATTTATGGGCTGTATGCTGCTGCTGTGTGGGCACTGCAGCAGTCAGGTTCTCTGTGTAACTGGTTCTGATAGAAATGGCTCTGGTTTTGAAGGTCATGAACTGAGGCCCAAGAGTGACCATCTGATTTATAGGGTATTTGCAAGGTCTAAGCTTAAGAAAGTTGCAAAATGTCCCTGCAAATCAAGGGACTTTTAGTAAAAGGCGCAGAGATAGTACTAGGGACTTTTAGCTTCCACATACTGAGTCTAACTACTGAGTTTAAGTATAGTCCTTCCCAGTGTGGGAAAGGGACCAATATTAAAAGAGAGTGATGGTTAAATCTAGATAAGCAGAAATGTGTATAAAAGATATGAAAGTTTTAAAACTGGAGTAAAGGAAACCTCAACTACTTGTTTTCTGGTTTCATGGGGAAAACAAATTTCTCACATGTAGTTTTGCTTCTGATCAGAAACCCTGTACTGTAAGACCTAGTGAAGGTCGCTGTAACTGGTTGGGGAGAATGCTTTTGCCGCTGGGAACCCAGGAAGGGTCATTTGGGGCTGAAAAGTGTTTCAGCCTGAGGCAAAGCAGCATGTCTCTGCCTTGAGACTGGGCCTGAAGGAGCATGTCTCTATGAGGCACCAGTGGACGCATTGGTGCAAGAGAATGTCTTTACCTGTATTGTTTCAGAACTCTGTGTTTTAATTTTGGTCTGTATCTACTCTGCAAAAGGAAATTGAGGATTCCAGGAAAGGTTAAAACTTCATACTCTACAGGAAAGTGAACAAGAAAAAGGATTTTCCATTATGATTTGTATTTTTTCCCTACCTGAACCCTCCAGGATTTTGCACTATGACGGAGTGAGTGATGACAAGGTTTCTTTGCATAAAACCAATAAGACCAGTCTTTAATAGTGGTTTTGTTAACCAGGACTTTGACCGGAATGTCACGCCTGAAGGAGGCATGTATGGGTTCTGGTCGTTACCAGAAAGCCCTGAGGAACTGGGATTCACCTGTGAAGGTAGCGAAAGCCCACAAGAAAAGCCTGGTACTTTAGTTGGTTGTGCGGTTTGTGCCAGTATTTCTAGGGAAGGAACGAAGGTTGCTTTCCTGAAAGATGGCTAAAAAAGAACCTGTAAGCACAATGGAGGCTCAAGGATTTGAGTGAAACAACTGGTACAAGGGAAGCCAGATGGCAGGTGTGTGGCTCTGCGTTTGTGCCCCAAGGGGCGGAGTGAGAAGTCAATCTAAAGGTTCCCTGTGTCAGTTCCAGCAAAGTAGACTTAGGGATCATAAGTGATCCAGGCTGCTCTTGGTGTGTTTATGCAAACGAACAGTCAAAATCAAAAGCGGGACCCAAAGTAGTCCCTGTAATAACAGTGAGAGTGATCCTAAGGAGAAAAATTATAATTCAAGGAAAATCACAATGCTCAGTATTGGACATCAGAATGGCACAGCTAATTAAATGTCTTGAAAGTTTGTTTTCATTTGAAAGTTGAAACCAGGTTTGTGATGTTACCTAAAATGTACAATTTACAGGTGCAAAGGATCTTGCAATGGAATGTCTTCCCAAAAGACACTCTCACATGTGCAGAGACTGGTTTGGGGATCGTTGTGTGAATTAACCTGTGTGTTCTTCTGTTTTCATAGAGTATATGCCTATGACCTGCCTATGCCTATGAGTGGTTGGTTGCAGTATAGGCCTCACTTAAGGAGCCCATCTTCATCATCGCCCCTGTGAGAGTCAACGGTTTGGCTGAACTAAGTAGTTGGGTTGGTGGAGGGCTGGGGTGGTCTGTGGGCTTCACTTTGAAATTGATTTTTCCTTTTCTGTCTTGATGGCTTGGACAGAAAGGGCTCAGAAATCTGAAAGGAGGGAAATCTTAATATATTCCCCTCAGCCTGAGTGAAGTATAGTGGAGCACAAGAGTTTTTAGATAGGTGTAACATGCCTTGTACACCTTCCACCGGATAAGCCATTCGTTACTGAAGTCCCTGCCTTTGTCAATTAATGGTTATGATTTAATTGTGCTTCCAATTTCTTGCCTAATCTGTCGCCTCCAGAATATGACCTGACCACAATGCCAACAGTCCAGTAATGTCGGCCTTTGGACACCAAGCCTGCAACTTCCAGGTGACAGCCAACTGACCAGGACCCTGTAAGGTCTTTCCCCTTACAGGAAGGGAAGGACTCCCTCCATGCTGCACCCGCCTCCCTTTTCAGGGCACTCCTGACCCCGGAGTAGGTAGGACAGTGTCCATTTCCAGCCGGAAGCAGTTAAAAAGATGAGACCTTCGTCCATTTTCCTTTATATGATTATAAAGTGGGTGTATATCTCAAAGGAAGGAACTGATACAGGGTACAGGGTGCAGCGGGGGGGGGGGGCAAAAAAAGATTTGGAATGGTGTCCAGGATTCAAAGTGTATAAGAATATTGGAGAGACATATAAGATGTCCTCAAACACCCCCCCCCCAGGGGGAAGGGATGAATGGAGCAGAGCCATTGAGAGCTGTTTTGCATAGCAATGGTTTTGCAGCTAACCTCTGGAATGATTATTTAACATATCTATAACCTTTAACTGGTTTCATAAATATGTTAAATAGTAGTGGCCAAGTTTGGAGCCAGGGAGAAGGTAGTGGCTGGGACTCAGGACTTAACTAGGGTCTAAGTTCCTGAGTGAGAAGGCCTGTGTGAGAGCTTCGAAAAGATGGGCTCCGGGACAGGAGGGGATAACTGCCCAGGTGAAAGGGAAAACAACGCAGCTTTGCCAGAATGGAGATCCCTGCAGCCAGGTGAAGAAAAAAGCCACATGCTTTGGGTGGCATGCGAACACCTGCAGCTTTGGTAGAAGAGGCCCACACGGCTTTTGGGTGCTCCCTTTGGCCGCCTGGCCTGAAAAGCAGGAGAGATTTTGACTGGAACTGGGTACAAAGAAGTGTTGCCAGTGGACCATGAGAGGGTACCACAGTACTTTGGATTAACTCGAGATCCTGCACAGTGACACAACTGACGGTGCCAGCGGCCTACAACACAGACGTGTGCTCTTTTCCTGATTCACGGTACCCAGAGTTGGGACAGTGAGAGAAGGGAGAGCTGTGTGGGTGTAGGTGTATACCCTAAAGGACTTTGATATTTTAGTGGTGGTGTTAACCCTAAATACCATTAAATAAACATTTTGTTTCCTTTTCACAAATCTCTGGCATTGAGAGATGTCTTTCCAATTGGCGGCGGACAGAAGAGCGCAGTAGATATTAGTGTTTTGTTTTTGGGAGGGGCCCCTGTTGTAGAGCAGTTTTCGGCATCCCTAGGTGGGCCAAATATTGTATTGCCCCTCCCCCAGACCTCTTGTTCCGTAACAATGGTGTAAAGGGGGTAACAGTTTCAGGATTAAGGTGGTCATACTGAATTAAAGTGGTACCGGGATGCACAGAGCACGAGACTTACTTCCTAAGAAGCCAAATGGACGCACACAGACCTGTTGACTGGAATGAGGAAACAGTAACGAGTCAACGGAATAAGGGGGAAAAATAGTTAAAGGAACACCCTTAACGTCTCTGTTCTGTTTTGGAAACCCGGCTACAGGAGCTCACTCACACAAAGCAGGAGTTCAGCAAGTTTACCAAACGCTCCGGACACAGCCACGCCAGGACCCTTGCTGACGCAGCTGGAGTCCTCACTCCCATTGGATGTGCGGACGCAGACAAGCCCATGGGCGTCTCCGCGTATCCGGTGACCAGGACTCCTCCACCAGAAGGTTTGGTTGATCTCCGTCATGGGGCCCCGAGCCCTGCTCCTCCTGCTGTCCCGGACCCTGACCCTGACCCTGACCCAGAACTGGACGGGTGAGTGCGGGGTAGGGAGGGAAAGGCCTCTGCAGATCAGGAGCCAGGGGGCCGGCGGAGGCGCAGACCCGGGGACTGTGCTCCAGCAGCACCGCCCGCCCACACCCCAGAGCTCCCCCACTCCTGCTTTAGCCACGCCCCCCATTTCCCCCCGCTAAGTCCTCTCCAGCACCCGCCACCTTTCAGTGTCCCAGGCGCCCAGCTCCCACCCGCCCCACAGCGAACCCAGGACCTGCGTCCCCCCCCCCAGGCCCCCACACCCTGGGATATTGCAGCACCGCCATGTACATACCCCTTGGCGAGAAGAACCGCTACACCGTCGTCATCTACCTGGACGACACGGAGATCCTGCGGTTCCATAGTGACGCTGCCAGTTCCAGACTGGAGCCGAGGGTGCCCTGGATGGAGCAGGAGGGCGCAGGGTTTTGGGAGGAACAGATGCAGGAAATAAGGCACAACGAACAGAGGAGCAGAGTGAACCTGAACAAGCTGCACGTCTACTATAACCAGAGCGAGGACGGTGAGCCACGTGCGCCCGGGGCTCGGGGATGAATCCATCCCCACAGAGGAGCCAGAGTCGCCCGGAGTCGCAGGGTCCTAGCATTCCCCTGATGCTGCTGCGAGGTGGGGCCGGGCGGGACCAAGTGGATGGTGCTGACCTTGGGCGGGGTCAGGGTCTCACACCCTCCAGGAAATGACCGGCTGCGTCGTGGGGTCGGACGGGCGCTTCCTCCACGGGTTCAGTCAGTTCGCCTACAACGGCACCGAATTCCTCTCCCTGGACGAGGACCTGTGCTCCTGGACCACCACGGCCATGGCGCCCCAGATCACCTGGCGCGAGTTGGTGCTGCTCCCTGATGCGGATGTCAGGAGATTCTTCCTGCAGGACATCTGCGTGCGCCGCCTCCACCGCCTCCTGGAGAAGGGGAAGGACACGCTGCTCCGAGCAGGTTCGGGGCACGGGCTCCTCAAATAGAGGGGATCTGTCGGCAGGGGAAATTTTCCTACAAGGAGAGGAGGAAAATAGACCAGTATCAGAATCCTCCTCCTGGTCTCAAGAGGGAAGAGTCCTCCAGGTTCCCTTATTTTAGAATCGTATAAATGTAACTACTTCTTAACTGTTAAGGGGTTGAAATTACATTTGGCCCTTTGAAAGCAACTGAGAGGCTGATGTGACCCTCACGAAAATGAGTTTTACACCCTGCAGCACCTGGTACACCAGGAACTCCCCCTGGTTCTGGGGCTGAGACTCTCTCTGGAAGCTGGACTCCAGCTTTTGTGACTCATTCTGCCTCCACCTGAGTCTCATTCTCAACTTAGACACTTGGACACTCCAACTCTAGGTTCTCTCCCTGATTCTGGAACTTTCCAGGAAATAAGGCCCTGTCCAGGCTGCTGTCTGGGTGGTGCCATGCTGGAGGGTCCCATGACCATGCAGAGTCTCTGAATTTTGTCATCCTCCCCTCAGACCCTCCAAAGACACATGTGACCCACCACCCCATCTCTGACCAGGAGGTCACCCTGAGGTGCTGGGCCCTGGGCTTCTACCCTGCGGACATCACCCTGAGCTGGCAACGTGAAGGGGTGGACCTGACCCAGGACATGGAGCTGGTGGACACCAGGCCTGCAGGGGACGGGACCTTCCAGAAGTGGGCAGCTGTGGTCGTGCCTCCTGGAGAGGAGCAGAGATACACATGCCATGTGCAGCACCAGGGGCTGCCTGAGCCCCTGACCCTGAGATGGGGTGAGGAGGGGGCGTGGGCACAGAGCCTCTCTCTCCTCAGGGTGTCCCTGAGCAGGGTCAGGACTCAGGCCTCAGGTTGACCTCTCACCTTTCCCTTGCAGACCCCCCTCCTCAGACCACCATCACCATCTTGGGCATTGCTGCTGCCCTGGGTCTCCTTGGAGCTGTGGCTGCTGCAGCTGTGATGTGGAGGAGGAAGTGCTCAGGTGGGCAAGGGGTGGGGCTGAGTTCCCTGTGCCCCTGGGGGTGGAGCCCAGGTGGAAGTGTGCTCTGCCCAGATAATGGTCATGGTGTCCCCAAACGGGTGCTTGTCCATCTGGGGCCTGTTTCCTAACACTGACTCTTTAGTGAGGTCCATGGGAAAGTCAAGGACCTATCATTTGAGGGTTCTAGCAATAGGGGCTGTTTCCCAGCTGCCAGAGGTCAGAGTGTAGGATCTGTGTTATGGACAGACGTCCAGGTGGGTGGTTGGCTGAGTCCCCACACATGTTACTTTCCCTAAGTTTCCTGATCCTACCTCGATGTTCAGTTACAGTTCTGGAACCTTCCCTGTGCTTCAGGAGTGTGGGGCTCCTTTAGGGTCACAGGACCCAGCCTTTCCCCTGACTTCTCACAGAACATTTTCTTCCCACAGGCAGAGGCGGGGAGAGATGCACTCAGGCTGCTTGTAAGTCTGGGTGTTGGGGAGGTGACGTCTGGGACCCTTGGGAGAGGGTGGGCTGGATTCTGAGGGGGCTCCCCCACCCCATAACTCTGCTATGTGTCTTCCCCAGACAGTGACAGTGCCCAGGACTCAGGTGTGTCTCTCACAGCTCCTAAGGGTGAGACCCTGAGGTCAGGAAGTGGGAGACATGGGGACCGAGGGACACAAATAGGTTTTGGGGATTGTCAGAGTGGGACAATCTGAGCCTGTGGTGGGATGTGGGGGAATGTGACACTTCTGAGACTGACCAGAGTTTGTTCATGACAACTTTCTTCCCAGGGTGACAGAGCTGCTTTCTATGGGACTTGGTGCTACAACAGTCACTGCAGCCTCCCCTTGGGACTTTAAGGATCCCTGACTGCTGTTCCTGCAACTGGCATCAGAACTTGTCTGCATTCTTATCAGCACAGTGAGGAGCTGGTGCCAAGGCCACCCTCCCCACAGGGACCTGTGTCCTCTCCCCAGGGGACTGTCATGTCCCAGCAGAGCCGGGGTGAGGCATCCCCATCCTGGTCATTCCTAGTCTGGGGCATCTTTGTTGCTATTTTGTCCTTGCCACTTCAGGAGAACCTTGTCCCAGCAGGACCTGGGGTCCCAGGGCCTCGAGCATCACCTGGGCCTTGTGGTGGCTCCAGGACTGTGCTCAGTGAAGGCTTCATGAGGCAGCGTCAGCCTGGGCTCAGGCCTGGGTCTGGCCCTCAGCCCCTGTTTGGGGTATTTTATTGTTTTTTTTCTTTTTGTACATGTTATGTGTTCTTGTTTTCTTGTATTCTTGTATTCTTGTTTTCTTATTAAAGTATTGCAATGTTTTTATTAAATTATTGGGGGGTGTTCTTATTCAATGTATTGGGGTGCACTGGTTAAGAGGTTCCTGTAGGTTTCAGGTGCACATTTCTACGACACAGGGTCTGTACATTTCACTGTGTGCCCACCACCCAAAGTCAAACCATCTTCCCTCACCAGGTACGAGGCCCCTCCTCCCCCAACCCCCTTCCCTCTGGGAACCACCACCCTGCTGTCTGTGTCCCTGAGTTTTAGGTTTATGTCCCATGTATGAGTGAAATCCTGTAGTTCTTAGCATTTTCTTTTTTTTTTTTCAGAGTGTATTTATTTACTTTTAGAGAGCAAGGAAGAGAAGGGGAAAGAGAGGGAGCAAAACATGGATGTGTGAAATAAACATCAAGATAGGGGCTAATCGGGGAGGTGGCCCCACACCCAGGCCTGTGCCCTAACCAAGAACTGACCTGGAGCCTTTTCAGTTTGTGGGAGAACACCCATCCAACTTAGCTACACTGACCACCTTCCATCAAAAACAAGAAAACAATATCATCCCAGCCCACTAGCTCCGTTGGAGTGTCGTCCTGCACATCAACAGGCCATGTGTGCAGTTCCCGGTCAGGACGCATACCTGAGTTGGAGTAGGGATCACCACCGGTCAGGGCACCTTGGGGTGCAACTGAGCGATGTTTCTCCCTGATACCAGTCTTTCTCTCTCACTTCCACTTCATCTCTCTCTAAAATCAAGGGAAAAAATGTCCTCTGGTGAGAATTAAAACAAAAAATACAGAGAATCAGCTGATGATTACAGTGTTTTGCCATGTATAACATGCACCGACATTTTTGGCCCAAACAGGAAAAAAAATTTCATTTTAATTTTTAATATAATTTCTTATTTGTATTTAGATGCCTGGGTTTTTTGTATGATAAAGGAATTTGAATATTATTTTGGATAGTATGGTATTATATTGCATGTGGATATCATTAGTGCTTTCCCGAGTTACACTTTTAACACATTCACATAAATGAAAGAATTAAAAACATTTTGCCCTGGCTGGTGTGGCTCAGTGGATTGAGTGCGGGCCTGTGGAACCAAAGGATCACCATTGGATTCCCAGTCAGAGCACTTGCCTGGGTTGCAGGTCAGGTCCCCAGTAGGGGACATGTGACAGGCAACCACACATTGAAGTTTCTCTCCCTTTTTCTCCTTCCCTTCTCCTCTCTCTAAAAAATAAATAAATAAATATTTTTTAAATGCTCCTCCTGCCTTAGCTGGTGTTGCTCAGTGCATTGAGCACCAGCCAGTGAACCAAAGGGTCACCATTGGATTCCCAGTCAAGGAGCCCTTGTCCCAGGTTCTCAGTGAGGGGCGCTGCCAGAGGCAGCCACACATTGATGTTTCCCTCTCCCTTTCCTCTAAAAATAAAATCTTTTTTAAAAATGTTCCCTCTCCATATTTGTGTGATGCTGTATATTTCTTCATATACTGCAACCAAAAATAACATTAAATGCAGAAGCAAATATGAAAATCTAGCGGACTTCTAATTTTACAGACAAGAACTGAGACTCACTAAAACATAAAATGTAAGCAGATCCACTCTTTTCACCTCCTTGTTTGTTTGAGGAATAGTTATTTTTCATTTAAAAAAACCATTACTTCTGTTAACATGTCATAGGGTATTATGATTATTCTAAATGAATTAAGAATTTTTCAACTGTCTTATTCCTTGTATGGTAAATATTGATAGCAGTAACCCACACAAACAAAATTGTTTTGGTGGCCGTCCCTATTTTGTAAGACTCTTTAGATATTCTGAAAACAAAATGTTTTGAGAGTCGCTGAACAAACAGCCCGGGGGCCGGGACTCAGGGAGACAGCGGGACAGAGCTCTCCCTGCAGGAGGAGGAAGGGTCGGGCCGAGTCCCAGGTCACCAGGCCTGACTCCACTGTCTGAGGCCTGAGTTTGAGGCGGGACCCTAAGTGCTGGGGGCAGTGCCCTTCGGTTCCCGGCTTTCCCTTCTCCTTGGGGTTTTATTTTCCTTTATCACGACTTACTACGCCTGGATATTCGTGACGCACAGCCTGTCTCATGGTGATTGGATGTCCGAACTCGGGAAAAGCCAATCATCATCATCCCGGATGCGAATGAAGCGACCTATTCCTCCCCCGACCCTACGGTTGGACAGGGTCCCGGACAGCTGCTCCTGCTGCTCTCGGGGGCCCTGGGCCTGACAGAGACCTGGGCCGCTCAGTGCGGGGTCGGCAGGGAACGGCTTCCGTGGGGCAGGAGCGCGTGCACCTGGCGGGGACGCGGAACCCCGGAAGGGCGCGTCGCCAGCCACCGCAGCCCAATCCCAACCACAAACCCCCTCCTCGGCCCCGCCCCTGGCCCCGCCCCTCTCAATCTCCGCCCCCTTTGCTGTTCTGGGCGCGATCCAGTTCAATCCGCCGGACCGCGGATGCAGGCCGGTCGCCCTCTCAGCTCCCAGACCCTCGCATTGTGAGAAAGTTCAACACCGGCGTGTCCGGACCGACCTGCCTCTGAAGAACCGGTACAGCGTCGTCGGCTACGTGGGCGATACCCGGGTCTTGCGGCTCCACAGCGATGCCCCGAGGCCCAGGCTGGAGCCGCGGGTACCGTGGAGGGAGCCTCCGTGAGAGAAGCGGGAGGATCCAGAGAAGCAGGACGAGCAGACGCGGGAAATCAAGCCCAGGAACAGACTGTGCCAGCGAAATCGAACAAGCTGCACGCCCGCTACAGCCAGAGCGAACACGGGGAGCCACCGGCGCCCGGGTTCGAGCTCGATGCACTTCACCACGGACGGGCCGGGGTCGCCCCGAATCTGTGGTTCGAGATTCACCCCGAGGTTGGGAGACTCGCCCTGTGCCCTTCCGGATTGGAGCTCGCGGGGATTTGACCCGGTTTCGTTCCAGGTTACGTTTTATTCACCTCACCACTGGAGAGGGCGGGCCTGCCCTGGGGGCGGAGTCAGTGTCCCAACCCACAAGGAAAGGAGTGGCTGCGAGGTAGACGACGATAGGAGGTTCCTCCAAGGAAACAATTTGGTCCGCCTACGACGCACCGCCTACTTGGCCCTAAATGGGTACCCGCTTTCCTAGACTCCGGATCACCTGGGGCAAGTTGGTGCACGTCCCTGACGCGGACCTCAGGAGGGTCTACCTGGAGGGCGCTAGCGTGCGCCGACTCCACCTGCTCCTGGAAAAGGGGAAGAAGACCCTGCTGCGGCGTGAGCCTTCCCGAAGAGGGATTGTAATAGCCATTAGTAGTAGAAACATACAAACAGCCGTTAGGCATCTGCAGTTCCTGAGACTGGGTAATAAATAAATGTCAGGGAACGGCTGGGTTAAAATTCCTAGCCAAATAAGGTAACTGACCAAGGCCCGCCAGATAAGACCCCAGCTCCCAACCACCAATTAGAGACTTTCGCCGTTTTTTTTAACTTAGCAACCTGGCTAATAGCTAACTGCCACATCTGCTTCTGTAACCCCGCATTCGCTTGCTCTGCCCTATAAGAACCCCGTAGTCTGTGAGCCAGGCGCGACTCTCATCTGCAGCCCTTTTGGGCACCGTGTCTCTGGACACCCCGAGGGTTCGCCCCTGCGCAGGTAAAGCTTGGCCACCAAATTTATAATTAGACTATTATTTTGTAATCAATAAAATTAGAGATCTTTGAAACCTATCTTCATCTCCGAGAGCGTGCATTGCCTCATCTGTTGCCTACAACAGGATCTGTCGGCTTGGAGGGGCTTCCTACAAGGAGAGGAGGCAAAGGGTGCAGTGTCGGATCCTGCTCCTGCTCAGGAGAGGGAAGAATCCCCAAGTGTCCTCATTCTGTGACTCACCCGTGGGCCCAGCTTTCTCTGAAGGACAGTAAGGGACCCAGCCTCTCCCTGGAAAGCCCCACAGCACTTCCTTCACACCCTGCAGCACCTGGTGCACCAGGAGGCTCTCCCTGGTTCTGGGGCTGAGACCTTCTATGGAGGCCTGAATGGCTTCCCTGAGTCATTCAGCCTCCACCTGAGTCTGTGTCTCCCCTTAGAGACCTAGACACTCTCCTCAGGGTGTCCCTGAGCAGGGTCAGGACTCAGGCCTGAGGTTGGTCTCTCACCTTCCCCTCTCAGAACCCCCTCTCAGACCACCATCACCATCATGACCATCTTGGGCATCGCTGTTGCCCTGGGTCTCCTTGGAGCTGTGGCTGTTGGAGCTGTGAAGTGGAGGAAGAAGTGCTCAGGTGGGCAAGGGGTGGGGCTGAGTTCCCTGTCCCCCTGGGGGTCAAGTCCAGGTGGAAGTGTGCTCTGCCTGGATAATGGGCATCGTGTCCCCACACGGATGCTTGTCCATATGGAGCCTGTTTCCTAACACTGACTCTTTAGTGAGCCCCGTGGGAAAGTGAGGGATACATTTATCACCTGATGGTTCTAGTGGTGGGGACTGATTCCCAGCTGTCACAGGTCAGAGGGGAAGGTCCCTGCTGAGGACAGACATCCAGAAGGGCAATTGGTCCAGTCCCCACACATGTACTGTCTCTGTATTTCCTAATTCTGCCCCGATGTTCAGTCATACTTCTGGAACCTTCCCTGTGCTTCAGGAGTGTGAGGCTCCTTTAGGGTCATGGGACCCAGCCTTCCCCCTGACCTTTCACAGAATGTTTTCTTCCCACAGGCAGAAGCAAACAGAGCAACACTCAGGCTGCCTGTAAGTCTTGGTGTTGGAAGGTGACATCTGGGACCCTTGGGAGAGTGTGGGCTGGAGTCTGTGAGAGGGGCTTCCCCCACCCCGTAACTCTGCTGTTGTGTCTTCCCCAGACAGTGACAGTGCCCAGGGCCCTGGTGTGTCTCTCACAGCTCCTAAGGGTGAGACCCTGAGGCAGGATGTGGGCGGGTATTTGAACTGAGGGGCACAGCTGGGTTTTGGGGATTCTTAAAGTTGGACATTCTGAGCCTGTGGTGGGATGTGGGAGTTGTGACACTTCTGAGACTGACCTGAATTTGTTCATGACAACTTTCTTTCCCAGTGTGACAGAGCTGCCTTGTCCAGGTTTGGTGCTAAAACAGTCACTGCAGCCTCCCCTTGGGGACTTTAAGGGTCCCTGACTGCAGTTTCTGCAACAAGTATCTGAACACGTCTGCATTAAATAAATTTAACTCTATATTTATATATACGAATTAAACAGAAGTGATTTAGATTAAAAGCTCCAAAGTGTATCGTTTCCAGCAAATATTATTCTATGTACACCTTCATCCCATTTGTTAAGCTGTTAATTTAAACTCACAAACTTACCATGAGGTGTGGAGACAACCCAGGAGGAACAGACTGTCTGCCACGGACAAGGGGACCACATGGGTCCCCAGTGATGTTCCTTTGACCACCTGTGTTCCATTGGCACATAAGGGTTTCTTCCCATGCATCCGAATGCAACAATTTGGAGCCTCTGGTTTTGGCTGGTTGAGTCCCTGATTCTAACCAAGTGCATATTTATTGCCTAGGAGTCGTCCCAAGCTTTCAGGCCCTCCTCATGTAGACCTCAGGGCTGTCTGTGTGGGGTGCAGAGAGCTGACCAATCAGAAGGTGAGGACACCTGCTTAAAGCAGGAAGTGTCCCAGCATCCACTGTCCTTAATCCACTGCAGACACTGCTCTCATTCTGCAGATGCTGAGTCCTGGAAGGTCATGGCCAAGGAGCCCCCATGACCTTAGTGGCTTCCTCTGAGAGTTCGTCCTCAAGGGAGAGCCCTTGGGCCACAGGGTCAGTCTGGCTGCTGGACTGAGAACAGAATCAGGAGACAAGGGACCAGCGAGCAGGAGGGAAAGGTGTGGGAAGCTCCCAGGGTTCCAGGCTGCAGGTGCTGGGTGTTCTGATGGGGCTGTGAGTGGTGGAAACAGTGGGAAGGGACTGGACACTGAATGCATGTGGAAGATGGATTTCACAGCATTTCCTAGTGATTCAATCTGGGGTGTGGGAAAGGAGTCAAGGAGGGCACCCCACATTTGTGCTGTGCCAGCAGAAAGATGGGGTTATATCAGCAGAGACGGGGAAGACACTGGCAGGAGTATGTGTGGGGGAGGGGTGGGCATTTCAAGGGTTCAGCTGAAGAGAAGGTCAAGGTGAGACGTCTGTTATGAGCACCAGTGAGGAGTCAGGTTGGACAGATGAGTGTGGGGACCTGGAGGAGAAATGTCTGGGCTGGAGACATAGGGGTAGAGGTGATGCTACAAAAATGACATTTAAAACCATGAGGGTGGATGAGGCCACCAAGGGAGCCAGGACTGTGGAAGATTAAAGAACAAGGGCGGGACACTGCACCTCCCTGTCCTGACCGTGGGGACATTCATTCTGGTGACCCACTCAGGGGGGTGACAGTCAGGTATCCCTGTCATACAATCACCGTTTGGTGTTTTTCATTCATCAATAATTTACAGGGAGACCATCTGAGATTGTCCTGCTGTGCCCTTCACCACTTCTACACTCACCCTGCTTAGTCCCTCTCATAACTTCCACCCAAGTCAGCAAAAATATGGTGGTTGTCCCGTGTCAGCCCTGGACACTTATGAGTGGGGTGTAGAGTACAGCAGGGGAAAGTAGGAAGTGATATTGTGACTTCATATGGTATCCGATGGGTACTAGACTTTTCAGGGAGATTGCTTAATAAGTTATATAAATGTATAATCACGGAGTTCCATGGCTGAAAGTAACACAACATTGTATGTCAACCGTAGTTAAAAAATAAAAAATCTCATGGACACAGACAACGGTGTGGTAATTGGGGTGGGGTTGTATGGGTGGTTGGGGGGGGACAAAGGCTGGTGGAACAAACAAATGAAAGAAAAAGATGAAAAATATCGTGAGTTGAAAAATAATTTGGACTTCATACCCAACATTTTGACAGCAGCAATGGGCAGAAATTTATGTATTTTGTAACCAGCCCACAAGCCATCCTGGTCTCAGCCGGATTTGAGTTCACACAATTCAGTGGTGAGATCGGGCCCAGGTTGGGGAAATGACTTAAATGCACATTTAAATGTTTTCTTTTTCTGGGGAAGGCGAGGTCGTTCGTGTGTCATACGATATGAGAGGTACAGCATTTTCTCTACCACGCGGGAAAGTCAAGCGAAAGATTGAGAAAGGGGCTCTCAGTTCCACATCGTGAAAATCTCCAAATGCTTGCTCTCTGTAATGATTCCCCTGATTGATTTCTGGAGCAAATAACAGAACCAAAATTTCCTAATTTAAACATATAAAAGAATTTATATATGTGGGTTATTGGGGGGCTCATTTTGTTGAAGGGTGAGAAAGTGAGGAAGAGTGCATAATAAAAGCTTGCTTTAGGCTTAGGCGGGAAACCCCATCTAGCTGGGCAGCAGAAGATTTGAAAATTTTACCCCAGAGCATGACTTGACCACGAGCCCGAGAACCAATCACCAACCAGAGCAGGAGCTGATCACGAGCTCTGCGGGCCAATCCTTAGTAAGACCACGAGCCTTGGTATAGCCCTGAGCCAATTGCTAACCGCCACCTCTCGCTTCTGCAAAACTGCTTGCTTGCTCTGCTCCTATAAAAACCCTAGCCTGGCCCTGGCTGGCGTAGCTCAGTGGATT